GACCAGTGGCCTGGCCCAGCCCCTCGCTGTGGCCAGGATGCGAGGTGGCTGCTGGGACCAGTGGCCTGGCCCAGCCCCTCGCTGTGGCCAGGATGTGAGGTGGCTGCGTCACACCCTGTTCTCAGTCACTGCTCAGGAGCCCTGATTGCTGGCTTGCTTAATTTTACTTGTTCATTTGAGCTTATTTTGTGAAATATTAAAAAATGTGGGGGAAAGAAGGATTTTAAAAGCCAGTGTTACTTCTCTGAGCCTGGTTTATTCTAGCAATCAGTATTTTATCTGACCCTGTCTGATCTAGTCTTAGAAGATCAAACGTCCAGGCCAGCAGGCAGACAGTAAACAAAGCCCATGGAGGGTTTCGGTAAACACAAAGATTAGATGTTGAATGAAAATTAAACTCCTTGAACTAGTCTTCTGTACTAAAGTGGTTAAGTGGGTTGTGATTAAAAGAAATAAGTAATTATGATCATTATAGTTGAAATGATATAATGTTACCACATTTAAAGCACCTCTTGTACCCCAAAATGATTGTGTCGTTTACAAACTGGTGCCTCGGTGTGGAGGGGCCAAGTCGCCGTCTCCCGAGTGGGTTCCACGGAGCAGCGCTCCCTGGTCCGGTGGGGTCGGCGGTCGGACAGAGCCTTTAATCAGCTTTCTGCACTTCTGCCTCTGCGCTGTTTGCTCTGATGAGATAAAAGGGGCATCACAGCGCCACGGGGGGTTTCGCTCCCACCCTTGGTCCACGTGAAGGTGTTCTTCGAGGCAGCAGTCTGCTGTAGGCGCGAGCTGTACCTGCTGGCAGTGGTGCTGGCATTAGAGCCGGAGTGTTGGGCTGATAGTGGGCTCATGGACGCGTGGGCCTCCCCTCCTTAGCAGCTGCGCTCCATCTCCCTGGTTTCCCGGCTCGGCAGAGCCCCGCGCGTGTCCTCGAGGTGTGCTCCCTGGTGCAGGCAGCTGGTGGGCGCCCAGCCGGGCTGCCGTCCTTGCTGGGGCTGAGGAAGCCCGCTCAGGCCACCTGAGTGCACTAGTAATGTTTATAAAGAAGCGTGGGAAATTCATCGCTGATCATGAGGTTTGTAAGCTGCATGTCTCTAGGGATGGAAAAGTTGCCTCTTCTGTCTGTGCAGCCTCCAGCACCTCCCGTGTGCCTGCTCTTGGAGCGGAGCGTACAGCCTTGCTCCTGGGAGCCGATGGTCTGTGTGAAGCTGTTAGTATTAGGATGTGTCTTGTATTATTTGCACATC